ACACAGGGAAGAACAAATGGAAACAGATTTGCAAGGACATAGCACAATGGCATGGCCTCAAGATGGTATGTCATCATGTGATTGTGTGATCATGTCATCATGTTGCTAACATCATTTTTCTACTGATGTCACTGCAGGTGTCTTCATGTAGACTGACAAGACATCATTGACATCAACAATCAACATCTCTTCTTCAGCAATCATGTAGAACGGTACTACATTGCCATCATCTGCACCTGGTCATTTAACAATGTGCACAAGGGCTTCAAGGACCACGCCTACACAAACAACCCAGATGGCACAATTAATGACTTCTACCACCAGCTCTTTGTGCACCAGATTGACTTTGCCTTTGACCCAGACAAGGACCACATCCTTCTTTTCCAAATCTTTTCAATGTACTACCGCAGGAGGTACTCCTCTCCTCCTGCACATCTACCATTTTCTTTAATGCTCACTCTTCTTTTACACCTCTTCCTTCATCTGCTTAGATACAAGCAGAAGCAGATGAAGGCAGAGATGCAAAGGAAGCTTGCACATGAGAGGAAAGTGCTAGCTTGACAGCGCTTGCCTTGAGGTACATGTGTGTGTAGTGCACAGGATCAGTGCAACATGGAACACAAGGCATGTGTAGAAGGAGAGGAAGAGCCACACACACCAATCAAAGGAGAGGACATCACAGAGGCTGCAAGCCTTCTGATGATATCATCCTCCCTTCTTCATTTTTTTTTAACACCTGATCACATTTGTGTATATATGTACCTGCAGGAGGCTCACAGTCTCAATGCTGAAGTGATTCTTGCACATGCAACACACATGCTCAGCAGCACTGATGGGCTCCAGCTCTTCAGCAACAGACCAAACACAAAGGCCATTGCCTTCAGCATCAACAACAGCCCCAAGGAGCTCATCCACTGGCACTTCAACAAGCAGATCAACCACCTCATCACATTCAAGCCAAGTGGCGAAATCCTCTACACAAGGTGCACCATCTATTGGTGCTCAAGAACAATCGCCTACTTCAATGAGGCGTACAGCTTTTTCAAGTGATGGTATGTTACCATTCCTCTCTTTTGCTTTTTTTGGCACCTTACATTTTCTTGAGTGTAGTTGTTTGGTTAATGCTGGAGACAAGGAGCTCTTTTGCCTGACATGCTATGTCAAGATGATGAACACACTCTTCTTCAGTGGCCACAACCCACTTGGGCTACTCTTTGGTTTGCTCCCCTCACACAACCTTCAATAAACATTTGTTTGTATTGGGGGGGATAGGTATGGCGACAAACACATGGAAGTGGTGCGCCAATTGTGAGGTTTGGTTCTCACATTGAGGCTGGCAGCACAAACAATCCAAACACCATGCCAGGGTGGCCAGAGAGAAGTGTACATTTGCTTGCTTTTGCTCTTTGCCTGTGAGATCTAATGTAAACACTTTCATTAACAGGCGCAAATGAGAAGCTGGCTGCAGAACAGTGATTGCTCAAGTGAAAGCACCAGGCAAGTGATGAGGAAGAGAGAAGTGAGGAAGAGAGAAGTGAGGAAGAGAGAAGTGAGGAAGAGAAGGACACAT